GGGGGGGGGCAGCGGCCGTGTTCGACTTCCGCGACATGCTTGTCATCGGTTCGGGAAGGGCGGGGCGCGGCGGGCGGCGTGTCCCCCACGGGCCTATACGGCGGTGTGGGGGGCGGGTCGCGGGTAGGGTTGGCCACGACGGCGTCGATGTTCGTGTGTGAGTGTGTGTGTGTGTGTTTGTGAGTGTGTGAGCGAGACAGCACATTCGAGCGTCAGTGTTTGTGTGGCGAGAGTGTCGCCGCAGAGAAGGAGAACCCCACCAGCACCGCCGCTGCCGCGCTGGCCGCGTCACCGTCGTCGGACCCCCCGTCGCCTCCCCATCTATAGCCCATACTGCCACACCTGCCCGCCGCGCCGGGGACCACCCCACTGCTGCTGCACTCGGTGGCCGTGGACGGTCGGACGCCCCGCTCACGAGCTCTGCTAGCAGGCGGACGGACCGCTCTCGCTGGCCCACCCGGCAATCAACTTCAACCCCTTCTGGTTTGGCAGCCCCTCCACACCGGCCAGGACCACACCGCCCGGTCCAGCAGAGGGGTGGTGGTGGTAAAAAAAAAAGCAAAAGTGGAGGAATCATCGTGGCAGGGCGTGGCGTGAGGTGACACCGTGGGGTGAGGGGGGTGGGGCATTGGCGTCATCAGAATGTGAGAGCGGCTGATGCAGCAGCCCGACGCGCACTTCCTCTCCTCTCACGTGGCTCCTCCTGGCCCGTTGCCCTCTCCCCCCTCACTCCCCCTTCTCCCTCCCCTCTCCCGTCTCGCTGCACCTCTCTGCTGCTGCTGCTGCTGCTTGCCCCTATGAAATTGATTCGCTGCACCGGCTTGACTCACCCTCCCTGTTATTATTGTATCGCATTGTGAGTGAACTGCATCGCTTGCTCTCCCAAACTGCATAAGTGCAGTAGAGATGCATCACCCTCGCACTTCTCCTGCCGCCGTAAAAAAAAACTACCTAAAACAATGATTGCGGGAACGATACCATGTCGCGCCCCGAGCCGGAGGGCGATCTGCTGCGCTTGTAGAGAGCTGACCGCCGTGATGGCTTTGCAAGGACTGCAGCTCCCGGGGAGGGCGACGCGGACGTTGGCGGCGCCGATGTCTCCTCGGGGTGACAGGACCCCGGGGCGAGGCGGGGCCGCCTCCCCGTCTCGACCCACGCCCCATAGCGTTCGCTACAGCGCCCCTGTCAGGACCAAAGCCTATCCCGCCGAGTTGGACGGCGGCGGTGGAGGGCCGGGTGGCTCATCAAAGCTAACCCTAGATGAATCTTGCGGGGGTGGCGGGCGGGGCGGGGCTGGCCGGGG